AGGCCTAGCTGCGTTGCAATATTTTCTATACTTAATTTATCGATACGGTATTGTTTATATCAGCACTACGATAAGTTGTTTACTACTATGAGAATTTTATGAGAATGAAATATTCATGAAAATACGTAAATCTTAGCTTTCTTGATAAATTAAAATAACCTTATTAAAAATATCTTGAAGATTTTCAGTGTGTGGTCTCGCATAGAAATCTTGTCGATATCTTTCAATTTCTAAACATCGAGACACCACGAGCGATAATGTCAGCGTGTTGACATTGTCCAGTGGTTGCATCGATTTCAATATAGGAGCATTCCAGAGCGTGACGCGTGCTATTATAATGAGATCGTAAAAGCGCACAGCCCTGCCAGCGCCCCGCACTCCGCGTGTGTCCCATGCGTCGCAGAGTCGCGTGCACCGGGTAGCTGTACGCCCCAGTTGCGGCCACTTGCTCCCTGGGGCAGCCGTCTCGCTCCCACCGGTCCGGTCTCCCTTGAGCGCTGAGCTGGTGCGACTGAGGAGCCCGCTGGTTCTCGACGGCCTACCCTCGGGGCGAATTCCTTATGAGGGCGGGCGGGGCTAATCCAGGGACTGTGTTGAGACCACGTGTTGTTGCTAAGAGACGCATTTAGGTCGCACTTCCTGCAGAGTTGTAAAGAATGGGAGTCCTTGTCGTGGCAGATTAGCTGTATCTTTGGCGTTAATCTTCGAATCTCATTTTTATGTATCTGTGAAGAAATGAATCTGGTTTCCTGCGTAGAAGGCAAACAGGTTTGGGTATTGTTGTCATTATCTATTCGAACACTTTTAAAATGTCTTTTGATTTTATATGTCCTTCTATGAAGAAACGAGGGGTTGTTTCATTTTTAGAAGTGATTCTTTTTTTTCGTATTCATTATAGACTATTATGCACACTTCGTTGGCAATCTTTTTTCGTAACTGTCCCATGTCTCTCACTGAATTACATCCCGTTTTGTTACCTATCGGATTCTCAATAGCGTGGTAAAACATAAGGTATTCATTCATTGTTGTAAACCTATAGAGACTCACCTTCCTCATAATTACGAAACGATTAATGGGTCATCCTTTCCAATGAGCGTGAAACCCCTCCGCGTTAGCGTATGTAGTCGCGTGATGACTGGAGCTCAGAGTGCAAATGAAGAGTAAATTCGCCTCTCGTTAATTAGCTAGCTCGAATGAGCACTCATTCTAGTGGCAAATTACTTCGGCTTTAATGTTGTCATTTTTATGCTGATGATGAGGAAGAGGCGGATGATTGTGTGATGTGAGTAACAAGTATTAAAGATGAACTGTTATTAGAAAGAGAAGAAATGAGGAAAAAAACAGAACCATAATGAAATCTGACGCGAATCTTCATTGGCTATCAATTCCACATGGAGTAACCAAGATTCCAAGATTCCTTCGTACCCGGAATGGGAATCTAACGTGCTTTGCGCACTTCATAAGCTGCCCCTATGGATAAGGATATTTTAGAAAAAAAATAATGCACAAATTGTAATTTAAATTACATTTTTGTCAGCGAACCCTGTCTTTAAGGGGCTGGGGGCCGCTTTTGGCTATGTCAAAAATCGCGTCTCTCCCCTTGCGAGGTCTGCTTACCAACTAACATGAGTCGTGTAGAATCACTTGAAAACATCGAGAAGCGTTTTCGGACAAGGTCACATAAAAATGCTAAAAATATGTATTATGATTTCTGCTGCATATTTTTCTTAAATAAAAATATTTGAATACCTTGTTAAATTGAATAATGAAATATAACACAGAAATCATGACTAATTTTGCAGCACCGCTATGGCTTCACCTCCTAGAATGATCGGCTCCTCAAGAAAAGCGTATAGCATTAAATTATGCTTTACCAATGCGAAGTAGCCACTCATCCACCTCGAGTAGGCGTTGTTATGGCGACGTCGCGGGAGTGTGTGTGTGTGTGTGGGGGGGTAAAATGTTTTTTTATTAAATTATCCCAGTCCCAGCCACTTTAATCGAGGGTACAGGACGAAAACAGCTTCCCTTGACACCTGTATCTGCCCCCCCCCCGCGCTTGCGCACTTTCTTCTGAATCACCCTGTACAGCGGTTGTGATAAACGAGCTTCTGGGTATTGTGACATCTGTGGCAAACGTCCTCAGCGTGGCCTCACCGTGGGCAGCGGTCGACCTGCTCTGGCAGGCCCACGGGGGCCTTCGCGACAGGCCAACTTGCTCGAATATCCAGATATCTATCGCTGCCCGGGTATGCGCGTTGGATGGCGCAATCGCTTCTGCTTGCAAATCGCGCCGCCTGTTCGCGCTGACATCGGTGCCACGGGCCGTTTCTAATGAGTGAACAAGGAATTAGGTAGTGAATGTTACGAGGTTCGGAACATGGGAGGGTGCGGCAACACGATTTATCAGTTTATCTCTTCTCTTCGTATGCACACAGTCAGGGTTAGATTGAGACATTGTGGGGTCCTCTGGAATGTAAGGTATGCGAGACCACAAGGTGGGGAAAAACCTCGCATGAGTATCGGTAATCAGATACAGATTCAATTGCAAAGTATCTGAAAAAGTAATGTTAAGCTTATTTACCCTTAGAAAATCATCATATGATATGCGATGAAATGCTGATAGTGACAGAAAAAGAACTTAAAGGAAGAAAGAAATTAGTAGTAGTGTACAGTAGATTGGCCGTAAATTTGTTTTTTTACTTGTGATATTATTATTCACAACGGCATGTGAAGCAGCATAAATCGGAATCATCTGTATATGGTCGCGTAAGTGTGCCGGCTTTTCTGCGCGCGTGTGTGAGTGTCCGTGACACTTTCGTATTATCGTATGTAAGGAAGATATAATACGTTGATGCATGTGTGTATGTTCCGGCTTTCTCGTCAGACCTCCGAGGTTCCTACTCGCCACCCATGACGAATCCCATACGCACTCGGGAAGGTGTCATTGCTACCCGTCAGGCTCCTCTTTATTGTATTCGTACTTCGATGACGCCTCAGGGCATCACTCGATGTTTCTGCAGCCCCTCCGACCGGTAGGTCCCTGGTTCGAGTCCCGACGCTGGCAGGATGATCGACACTAGCTTGACAGCTAGGTCGAATTCAGTCGCTGACGGGAGGAGAATTCTAGCGGCCGGCTGCTCTGATCGGTATTTTTTTCCCTTGGCTTCCCCGATCATCACCAGGCGAATGCCGGAGCAGTACCGTACCAAATGGGCCACAGACCTTGCGCGATCTTTCCTACCTCTTCCATGTCTTATCCCCCCCCCTTACACAAGCTTACACTAACATGCACTACAGTGCCACACAACTTGGGAGACAGCTCGAGAGCTTAGAGCGTGTTCAGGCTGGCGCGAAGCCGCGCTGGTGCATGGTTGGGGAAATACCCGCAGGCCGATGGTAGGTCGGCGCCGGATCTCTCCATACAGCGCGGGAAGACCACCACCACCACCTCCCGAGCTAAAACATACACTACACTTACAGGACTAATTCCCTTATTTGTTGACGTGCCCGAAATAACCAACAATCAATCAATCGAAAGCGCTCACTAACGTCTAATTTTCCCCGTCCACATTGTACACATGTCGACTTAACGGAACAACTTTCTTTTTCAGATTTAAAAATCTCTGTTTCCGGTAAGGGTTTACGCACACAGACGCTCAGAATTAGATCAACCAAGACCACGTATTTTGCTGAAAATCAGGAACGTTCGAGTCCTATACTGCGATTCTTCCATAGTGGTCGATGACATTAGGTCATTGCTACACCTCCTGCTCCATAAAATGAATATTTTTAACAGTAATAAGCACGTTTCTGGTGCCCCATTAAGGAGGACGTCCATGAAATAATTAAAAATATTCATTTTATCAAGCAGGAGGTGAAACAATGACCTGTTATCGGGCCACTATAGAAAAATCGAAGTGTATTATCAATATTAACGGAACGGGTACAACCGTCGCGTATTCTGAAAGTATCGCTCCTGTGTCTCCGCCCCCGCCCGCATCATTTCGCTCGCATCCGTCGCGTTCATTGCGCTATCGCGCGGCGCGATCGACGCCCACCGCGCGCGACGCGATTACGTCAGTCGGATGCCGGGCGGAGATCGAGCACGCGCGTGCGTCCGGTATCGTGCGTGGGTCGCCTGGTCGTGCGCACGTGGCCAGCAAGCAAGCAAGCAAGCAGTGTCGGCAGCTCGCATTGTACGCGAAAACTGTAGCGGCGTATCGAGAGCGGATAGGGAATGCCAAAGCGTGGGAAGTTTTGTTGGTCATATGAGGAATTTCTCGGGTTTCATTGGCCGCGTAGGCGGAAAGGTGGGCGCGTGTTGACAATGTTGATTCATTTGGTTGTCCCTAATGTATACAAACACTCCAAATACAGGGAAATTTTTGATTTGTATGTGCATACCAAATACTAAGAATATAGAACAAAATAATCGGAAACGAGAATTTGCAAAGTGATGCTTTCTCGCTGTGTATTTTTTTTTAGGGGGGGGGGGGCCTCTCTATAGTTTGAATCAGCCATCGATTTTGATGATTGAGAACAAACAATTTTAATTTTTAGCGGCACTTTGCATCAATTACTTTGTAAGAAAATGGCGATAACAAATTTAGGCCTCAGTATTGAAAGTATATTTGTATCATAAGAGAGACAGTGTTGCTTTTTCGGTGCTCCTTATTGAAATTTCTGTATTGAGAGACAAGATGAAAGTAGCTTCGGTGGTCAACGTTATTCAGGATATCCCTTTTTGTAAATAAAATCTTTTAAGGACTATTTGATTTAACAGTTTAATACGACAACAGGAACCACTATTTAGAAGTAAGGTTCTGCGAATTCAAAAATCGCATCTTTAATTAGAAATTTTAACTCCTTTTTTTTGTTATATCAAGTTAACAAAAGAATTACTTGCGGCATTTTTAGAGTGGGAATTCCTGTGTGGTGGCATCGTTGCCGTCTGGCTACTGACGGAACGGTCGCCATCGACCTGAGCGGTTCGCCACATGCAGCGTACACGCTGCAGCGGGGAAGGCGGGCGGCGCCTCGAGAGGCTGTCGGGCTGGGTTGTGCGCGGATTTCGATGCGGAGACATTCCTTATGCCTGGGAATGTGGTGGCCTGCGCAGAAGTGAGGGGAAAAGTGGCCGGTTGTAACTGAACGGCTCATGATGGAAGGTGAACGTGTCTTTCCAAATTCAGCACATTCGTTGGCTTTGGTATTCGATGGTATTAATGTGTGGTAGAAAAGTTGAATATGCCGTTAGGTTATCGCGAAATTAACACAGATCGTGACAAGAACCGAGCAGTAATATTTTTACGTAGTCAACTAAGTGTCCTTTATCGTACTTCGCCTAAAATGTATTAACGGTTACCTATATACATTCTAGAATAGTGAGCATGAATATATGTATTACATGGATTATATAATATTATTATATGCACATTATATTATCATTTAAACCAGGAGTCAACATTGACTTCAAAAGATAAGTTTTGTTGTCTTCATATAATATCTGTTGAATTGTAACGTTAGAATAAAAACCAAGATGTTGCTAACCCGTATGTTGAAAAACTGATTGGAGTAGTCAAATTATCCACGTATAATGTAGATATGCCTTAATTTATGCGTAGCAGTGTGATGCCTCCTTGATGGGTGGTGAATTGGTTGTTGTAATTTACTTGTCGAAATTTGATAAGAATTCGTACTTCGTTAATATTACACGAAGGGTAAGAATAATACGGTTTAAATATGGCCCAGGTCGTGGAGAATTTCTTTTAAACGTATACTGTCAGCTTTCGTTGAAAATGTCAACATTTCCCCACCCCCCCCCCCCCCGATTCTTATCTGTTGTTGAGTCTTTTTCCGGGCATTTCGTAACGAACTTCCTTTCAGGAATAATTATCTATGATTTAATATAATATACTAGTCAGTTTTATTTTCACATTTATTGATATAATTTGTTAACCAACATTTCGTAGCCTCATTCCGCTCTCAGTTTCAAGGTTGTGATAACTGAAAGTATACCTATGTGTATTTAAAATCAATAAAATTTTGTATAAAAATTATAAATATAAGTGCATATTAGTTCTTGTCTTTATATTCCGTATACCAATTTATTTCATGAATTATGAAATTTATGGAGAATTTTAACATTTGTGATTTATTGTAGAAATATTGTAATTTAATGTGTATTTATTAGTTTCATTCATCCGTCAGTATTCAATCGCCTCGCCGTTTGTCATCTTTCCTTCTCCCATTTATAACTTATCTTTACCGTCCCACTGCAAGTAGTTTCTCCTCGAACCCATCGGCTCATTGGCTACTGACCGCCGTCTTCCTTCCCTCCGTCCGCTTCCCGGCCGTATTGCTGGCCGTCTTCAGCTCACACCCTTGCATCCATCACCCACTACCCACCAGGCCCCCCTCACTGGTGCCGCCACCACATCACTCACGCCGACCTCCACGCGCTGCCCTCCGCCCCACTGTTTTTTTCGCTCGCGCGGGCGAGAGGGGGGGCGCGGGCGTTGGCAGGCGAGAGGCGTGGGCGGGGCGGGCGGGGCGGCGTCGGCGCACGCGAGAAGAAGCGCGGTGCGTGACAGGCGCTCATTTGCGTTGCCTTCTGTTTGGTTGCAGGCGACCCGCAAAGTGGCCAAGTACGGGTACCTCTTCGTCGCCCCCGGCTGGGACTTCTCCAACCCGCTCAACAGGACCAAGGTGAGTGCGAGCGGCGCTAGAGGGCGCCAGGGAGCAGCCAGCCACTCGGGCGGAGGCGCGGGGACACATTCGATCCTTCTGTTTTCCCTGTGGGAGCAAATCACATTCCTTCAGTGTCCCCGAACCATAGGTTTTCAATGGGAAAATGTTAATTCTAAGACTCGTCAGCGCGTTTACAAAGTAATATTATAAGAAGTTTCGAAATTTACGCAAGTTTCACGTTGAATGTAGTACACTACAGTAGAATAATACTTGTTTGTAACGAAATGATAACAGTAACAGCTTCGTACAATGAACGTTCAGACACATTCAAAAACTTTGCCACAGAAACCTAACAAAGTATTACTTTAGTTATTCATTAATTTCTAATAATTGCCACTATGCAGTTGATAATCTGACGTGTTTTGAGTGAGGCTCAGCCGAATATTTGCTGGAGAATTCCTATGATTATTTACCTTCTGCTATGGCAGCGCACGACATGTCGTGAGCTGTTTTCGCGTAAAAGGAAGTCCACAAAAAATGTCTGAAACTTTGGCTAAAAGGCAAACGAAACAGCTAACTCAGAACTAGCATTTCACTGCAGTACGGTTTTACTGTGTACAGAACTATGGGGACGAAATGTATTTATTACAACGTTTCAGTCGTTCTGTCGTAGTTTTCTTTTGGTCACAAATGCCCCAAAAAACCTTAAGAACTACGAAAGAAATGACCGAAGCCTCTGTTTACGAACTCTCTCCCTACGCGGCGCCACCCGCTCCGGCAAGATCAATCGCGCGACTGCGCGGAAGCGAGAGTACTGCTTCACGGGTTCCTAGTAACGTCGCAGTGCAGCATCATCGCCGCAAATCGGCACTGCAGACTTTTGACCTCCGCCCGCGAAACACCTGCAACTCACCCGCGCTGCAGGCCGCGAGTGGTGAGCGCCAAGTGCACGCTGCGAATCCGCGCCCCCTCCCCCCCCCGTTAAGACTTCCTCTACACCGGGGCTCACTTCCAGTAATTGTCACTTTAATGGGCGCCGTGGGCGTTCTCCTGCCGCGAACTCGTTGGCTGTCATGGCACGAGTCGTTTTTGCCCTCCAGGCGATTGGGTTATAAGCCGATTTTCCCGCCAGTTTTCCTTGGCTTTGTTCAGGGCAGGAATGTCAGTGGTGATTTTATGAATATATTCCCCATAGATGTGCCCAATAAAAATCATAAGCTGCTTCGGTTGAAGTCGCGTGTTTGCTGTCGGCTGGCAGGGCGATGCTGTTTCGTGGGATGGTTAACCCACGATTCGGCGATGCATCTGGGGTCTCTATAGAGTGCTGAAAGCCGAAATATCCAGCCTTACCTGCACCATGTGTTGGCTTCCTCTGCCGGATTCATGTTTGCTGGTGGGGCGAAACGGGTCGTAGGCTGCTTTGTAAATGTGTCCTCTCTTCCTTCTGTAATCTTCTTTTGTGCGGCAATGTGCCCTTTGTGATATAAATACATTTCGTCTCCATAGTTTTGTTCACAGTAAAATCGTAGGCTTGTGCGACTGCAGTGAAATGCTAGTTCTGAGTTTGCTGTTTCGTTTACCTTTCACTCAAAGTTTCGGACATATTTCGTGGACGTCTTTTTCGCGAAAATATTCTACGAAGGTTAGTGGTACAGACACTGTATGATGTCCTGTTGCTTTGTTGCCGATCCCTATTTGTAATGCAGTAAGCTACAAAATTGCTTCTAGCACTTTGCTTCTCGGTACATTTTCTAGCTATTCTTAAAAGGGATCAATTTCACAGATATAATTATGAGTTAAACGGCATTTTGATGTCCTAAAAATGGTATTTTCGACTCTGCCGCATTCTCAACCTCATTCTCAAAGCTCAACTGACATGTGGATTATGTCCTGATCGCGAACTTCAGTAGGGCTTTTGTCAAAGGAACCTGGACTGGACGTTTCCCCGGCTAGAACCTAATAGTTCTCTAAGTGGTCGAGTGAAATATTGCGTTAACCACATCGGTCTCGAACCACAAGTCCCTACTCAATTTCCCCTGAGTCACTGTCACGGTGAGTCCAAACTCATCACACGGATCCTAGGACATCTATTCACCTTTGCGATGCACTCCCTTCGGCTCTAACGACGCTCTAACGACGCTGAGAAAAACCGGTCGCCGAGAAAATCCTCCACCGGAGCGAGAACCGAGGATTCGCAACTCCAGCCGGGTTCGAACCCGCGAACACTACAACAACCCGTCACGCTAACAATGACACCACCACAACGGCGCATTTCTCTCGAGAAGCAAATTGCGCGAGAGAGAAAGAAGTCGTGGGATCGTGGTCGTCGCCCAACCCCCGCCCGCCTCGGCCAGCTGCTGCCGCTGCTGCTGTGTTTCGCGTGAAGGCGGGCCGCGCGGAGCCTTGGGCCTTCTTCCCGGGGCGAGTGTGAGCTCATCGCCGTCTAAGTACGCCTAAGTGCGCTCTTCCTGGTGCAGGCGGCAAAAAGGCCGCGGCGGAATTAAAGGCGTCCGCCGCGCCGCGCCGCGCCGCCCCCGCGCGGCCACTTTGCGCGCGTCGTGCGCCTCCCACGCTGCCCTCGGCGGGCGCCGGTCACGCGACTCCGAACCTCCGTTTTCGGGAGGAATGGGCCAACACTTGAAGCAATGTTTCAAATGAAAGTGTAAATTAATGTGTACCAAAGAACCAAAAAAGGTTTTACTGATTCGTTATTGCTTCTTATTACCTTCGATACCGAAGACAGTTCAGTGATAAATGTTCTCTTAAGGAGGGAATTATGAAAGGGGGTTACCGGAAGGAAATATGAAAAGACAAACTGAGTCAAGTTAACATCTATTTAATTAGTAAGTAAATCTGTATCAATCGAATTAGACAAATAATTACCACTGGCAAGACAAGTATATTCCACAGGCATTAACAGGGTCTAATGATCAGGGTTTGGCCCTCGGGCTTTTTTGTCGCCGGTCGATCATTAGAACCCTTACAACTCCCTTGGTGCATAAATAAATATTCAAATACGTTTTAAAGATCATAATCAGCATATTTACTTACAGAAAACAGTAAAACAAATATTAATGACTTGTCAAATGTTAGTTTATCCATTTCATAACACTTTTACATTTATTCAAGACTAATATATGACATAGAGAGACTGAGTGCGAGAGAGAAAGAGGTTGAGGGAAAGATAGAAAGAGTTTGAGAGGGAGGGTGCATAGATAATTTCATCTACTTAGAATTTAACACCCGGAGGGTGTAAATTTCCTAGAAGTTGTACATTGTGCATATATACTAATGTAATATTGTTACATTAAGACACAGTAACATAAAGAAAACAAACCCAAACCACGTGAGGCATACATTGTATGTATATTTTACATCACTATTATTTTTATGATTCAAAGAAGCAAATAAACACGAAGTATGGCTCCAAATCCATCCCTCCAGCAAGCAACAGACGGCGTCTATCAGTCGGAATTCCACAAAATGCATTACCTTCCCACGTTGAATTGGCGGAATTCGTCTAATGTGATAGTCCATGCTCCACGCTACCTTACGGGCGCTAATCGCATGCGCCAGTGCCACCTCCGGCGCCAGCCGCCTACACAGCGTCGGGCGGTTGTTTGGGGCCGATTTGCGATTCACTCTGCCCGCCGCCCCTGCACTGCTGGGGAAGAGCGCCCGTACGTACATGGAGGGTTCCCATGCGAAAGGTCGTAAGGTAAGGGGAAGAGCATGCGGCAAACGACGTGTAATGAATTCAATTGAATATAGACTCCGTATTTGGAGAGAACCTTGGGCGCCCAGACTCCGTCTTTGCTCTCAGTGATTTTCTGCCTTGGTATCAAATTTTTGACTGTCTATCGGAGCCTTCTTCATGACCTTATCGGACCTTGACCAGTTCCCTGTCGATCGTGACCTAAACGTTGACCTTTCTTGCCAATAACACGCTATCTCTAAAATAGCAAATACATGCAGATACCATACTCTCTCGCTTTAAAATGCCATAGCAAGCAAGTCTCATCCACATTTACTAGAATATAAAGTGAGTAAATTAAAGCTTATTGCATATCGTCGACTGTTTATATCATGTCATCATAGAAGCGTTAGTCAATTTTGTGAAAAACAGCATTGTATACCCAGTGATTTGTCCTAAAAGACTTTCCTCTCAAACGATTATCTCCCAAAAGCTAACATTTTTACATTTCCTGACTGCACTCTATTTGTTTTTTCGCGTTTAGTACAATTGTCTCTCAGACAAACAAACCCAGACATGCAGGGACGCGCTTTATCGTGTATAGTCTATATAATGACTTCTAGCGTTCAGACGACATGGTTATCACTCCGCGTGGTAATCCAATCGGGATCTTCATTATAACGGGGATTACGAGTAAATTTTTGGAATTGAATCCTGATTGGATAACCAAATCTCAGATAATCGTACGTCAGAAGTCACTAGAATTAAATCAGAGAATAGATTGGCATTGGACTTGTTCTCTCTGTAACGGATATGTGAGCTCACGGCCATTTTCCCCTGAAACCATTTTGCCGCGATGCTGTTTTATTTTCGATTCTCTGAATTTCGCTCAGATATTGTCGCTTGTCTTATTCCTTTTTTAAAAGTATTGTAAACACGTGTTCAATTTCCGACGAGGTAGAGGGGAGAGGACTGTTTGGTGGCAATTTTGTACAATTTCCCTTTCATTTTCGTACAATTGTGGGTTCTAGAAAGGTCTGTATTACGGAGATAAAAGTCAGCTTGATAATGAACTATTACCACGTGACCTACAAATATAAATTGACATTATATTCTGAAAATTTTTAAGTTTGGCTACTTTTTCCTTCTCTCAAACTTCGTTCGTGAACGTATTTTCATTCCGTTGATGAGCGATGAAAGGTAGTTAAGTTGTCGAGCTTCACAACCAAACTCACTGGATAATAAAACACCACTGGAATGGCTTTC